CCCCGACTAATTTCTCTGCTCTGATGGTTTCCTCCTGTCAGCTCGCCGCTGTAGCCTGAACAGATCTGAGTGTTTCTGCTTCATTAACACGATGCTGGCTGCAGAAGCTGCTGGGTTCAGGGTGTCTCAACAGTTTCCAGTAGTTACCAGTTGTTCATATTTCCAGCACCCAGCAGCTTCTGCCAGTAACGTCTTTATTTGAACGATGTGCTGGTAAAATTATTACTGACTCGTGTTTTGCTGCTCCCGAACCTGAACAGGATTTAACTCGTACACTGGAAACTCGACAGGAGTTGTAGGATCAGACGTCTACAAGGACCCGAGAGACAAATGGACGAAGAGGTGAGAACTCATCTTTAAAGCAATTAACTTAAAACCATCGTTTTATTTTATTTTTTTATTAATATTATTATACGCCCGTTGAAAAATGGACGGATTATAGTCTCCGTACGTCTATAAACTTTCTCTTGTTCCGTCCACAACTTCTGATCCGCTCAAGATAATTTAACAAAACTTCATGCACGTATGCATCGTCACGTGCACTTTTCATGACACCAGCTTTAAGGTCAAGGTCACAAATCAAGGTCAAATGTCAAACCGGGTCGTTGCTTGTCTGGGCCTTAACTTCTGATCCACTCAAGATAATTTTCTAAACTTGACGCACAAACATCATCAGTAGACGAGGGGTGACGTAAACGTCTCATCACCCCCACCACAAGATCAAGGTCACAATCCAAGGTCAAATACCAATTAAGGTATTTACTCCTCCAGGCCACACTTGATACATTTAAGCATCACCACCGTTTTGCTGTAGAATAGTTTAGACGGGCGTATAACGTCTAGTTTTATCACTCGTTTTATCCTAAATCCTGAGATTCAACAGAGACATCTGGAAATGTGAGTTTAGAAAAAAAAGAAAAAAGAAGTTGCAGCCACGTCAGAATGTTTGTCGTAACGTTTTGTTTTTGTTTGGGACCCCCTGCAGTCAGGAGCAGGAGAACTCGGTCCCCGGCGACGCTCCGGAGAGTCTCACCTTCAAGGAGCGCCAGCGTCTCTTCTCTCAGGGGAAGGAGGTTTCCAACAAGGTCAAGGCTTCCCGCAAACTCATGGAGCTGGAGAACGAGCTCAACACCAAGCAGTAGAACCCGAGCCCGCCGCCTCCCAGCGCCACCTTAACGCCAACGTTAAGGCGGTCCTGGGACGAGCCCAGAGAGCTCGCCTCCCAAACACTGACGGTCTCCTCGTGATTGAACCCACCAAACTGGACCACCCACCTTCTTTTGACGTAGCGAGGTCGTTCCAGCAGGACGGACGTTGAACGGTTCAGAACTTCCTCCACTTCGAGTCTGGAGGATCTTTACTGATGAGGCACTGTAAAAAAGTTTTAATTATTTCTAGTGAGAATTAGAGAACCACTACAAAGGGGGATATATTTTTGTTTGTACAATGGTTCTCGGGGAGAGGGCTCCAGAAAGATTTATTCTCATTTTAATTTTTTTTAAATAGCTTACGGAAATATGAACCATTTTATGCTCTTGTTTTAATTTTATTTTTTTTCCACATCATGTTGTTTTAACTTTTAATTCCTTCTTTGCCAGCAGATTCTACCTGAAGTGAAGCTCCGGGACGTTTTTATTTTTTTGAACAGTTCAACTCAGCGAGTGGAAACACTGTTGTTTCATTCCGTAGCCGGAGAGACGTTTTTATTTTGTGACGTTTTAGATAAACTGATCGATGCTCCAGAGGAGGATCGTGACAGAAAGGCCTCTGTTCGTGCACAACTTTACTGTAAATAATCCAGTCCGCAACTGTCTCACTCTTTCGAACTACTGTAGGAACCTGCCAGGAAACGGTAAATTAAACGTACTAATGCAACGAGCAGAGAAAAACCCACAACTCCTTTCTTTTAAACGTGTCTCCCCAGCTTTGGTTTTAGTTTCTTTTAAAGAAAATAGGCTGTTTTGCAGAGTTGTGTGAAATTAATTTGAGTGATTGAACCGTAAATTCAAGTCAGAAAAAAAAAAAAAGGAAATTTTCAATCACAATGTGATTAATGTTGGTTTTCACTAAAAATATTATTAAAGGTATAAGAACTACTCTTTAAGTGCTTGTTTACGTACCAGATATTTATTTCGAACCTTGTGGACAAATCTTCCCTGCACTTATTTTAATATTAACTCTGTATCTGCAGACTGTTGGGAGAAGCGGACCTTTCATGCTGTGGTAATCCGTGTTTTTCTGTCGCTCCAGCTGCAGCTCCAGATGTTTTCATCGCAGTGTCGTACACTTTCACAGTTCTAGCGACAGAAGGTTCTTTAACGTTCCCTCAGCTGCAGTTTGAGTGGCTCCATCCTGTGTGGCCTCATTTTAATTTACAACAGATGCACCGCGGTGAAGAAGATGCTGTTGTACTAACTGACCTTAACAAACAAAAACAACAAAGACTCACTACAAAACACGTTTCTTTCTTTCCCTACAACAACTCCTTTAGGTTTCGGAACCGAGTCATTTAAATGGTTTCATGTTTAGCCTTTTGTAAATCATTAATAAATGCAAATTTTTCAACATTGTGGACTGAAAGTTTCCTTTTTTTAACCAGTTTCATCTTAAGCTCACCTTGACATTAATTAAAAGGTACTAAACTATAATCATTCATAAATGTCCTGTTCAAAAAATGTGTCCTTTTCTTGTTACTGATAATTAGGACAAAAAAGTGGCCGATCTGTCGTCTTGATGTTTTTCACAGTTTAAATTTAATTTATTTCTATAGCGCCCCAACAGAAGCCGTCTCAGGGCACTGATCAGAAACATTCACATACAGACAAAAGACATGTTAAGGACAGAAATGATTATAAATACAAACAGGTGGAGTAGAGCAATTAAAGACAGAAGAGTGAGGGAAGTCTAATCTTAAAACTGGACAACGTGTCAGCCTCACGGACAGCAAGTAAATATTCTGATTCATGTTCAATAATCCAGGTAGAAAAATCTTAACAAAGATGACGGAATGTTCTTTAATGTTCTATTTGTTTATTAGAACAATTGTTTAATGTATTTAATGTTCTGCTTACAGTTCAAGAATTTTTAGGCTTCAATCTCACTTTTGCGTAACTTGTTTGAGGCTTTTCAGTTATTTGTCTGCCTCTCATTAAGCTGACTGCCATGGATGTGGTTACCATGGTGACCACAGTAACTGGCAGCACCTGAACATTTCAGTTGAGCTCACTTTTCTCTAGTTTATAAATCATAATGTCGTCATTTCTTCCCTCTGCTTAACTTTTTAAGTTAGAAGTTTAGATGACAGCTGCCATCAATTTTTTTTTTATTAAACTTTATTTTTAATTAATTTATTAGTTGTATGTTGTAACTAACTTTTTATTTTACCGTGTTAACTTGGATTTTAATACGTGTTTATATTTTGAATATCACCTTTAACAATGGCGCTGATTAAATGCTAGCACTTCCGGGTTTAACTGTTGTGTCGAGGTTCGTTACCCCCGTCGAAATCAGTTTTCTACGGCGGCCTTGAGGACGGTCAAGTTTAGTTTTCCCCTTAAAGCGTTTAATTCTTGTATTTAAAAGAACTGCTAAAAATAAATGTTTTGATCTGTTTTTGCTGCTTTATTTTAAGGTAAGAAATTACGAAGAAGAAAAAAAACAAGTTTGCGAAAAGCTGTTAAAACGCATTTTGATGTCTAAAAGTTTCGAAGCAACACAATTCGACACGACACCGGTGGAGGGTTCCGCGCTTCCGTTTGGAACTTCAGCGGTGATCGTGCTGCCCATATATGGTGCTGCAGTTGTAAACTTCCGTTCAAATGTAAAATCTCACACAGGTGAAAAGTCGAGACTTTCTTGTTCCCTACGTGAGTTACTGGATGATTAACGATGAATACGGTGGACCCTGAATGGGACACGGAAGGTGAGATTTACGACTCATAAAAAGAACTGGAACGCACCTTAGCGTGTCAGGATGGCCGAGCGGTCTAAGGCGCTGCGTTCAGGTCGCAGTCTCCCCTGGAGGCGTGGGTTCGAATCCCACTTCTGACAACATCATTTTAACCGTATTAATTCACATTTTATTTGTTGTATTTTTAAGGCTGACTTTTGCCAAATTACTTGTGAATGCATTTAACTTTAACTGTTCTGTGAGCTGATTTATGCAAAACACAAACGTCATGAAAAGTCATTGCAAATTTTTATGTGAGAAAATCATAAGACTAAAAACACGTTTACTATCTTTGATTGCTGTAATGTTGGGTTAATTAAGTTGAAGCTCACGTCATTCAAAAAACTTCATTTTGCACTTTAAATGTCAATTTATTCAACATGACCTCAAAAACCATTTAGGAGTCCTTATTACTCAAACAGAAAATCTTGGTGATTACAAACTATTGTCACCATCAAAAACACATCTTTAAATTACAATGAACAGAACTGTTTTTTAATTTTTAAAATGCACATATTAAACTGAATCATTATGAAGCAAACATTTCAGCTTCTCACTAACTGGACTCGTAGTTTAACGAAAACAAAATTGTGTAAACAAGCATTTTTAAACGCAACAAATTTCCACATCTAAGCTTCGATAAAGAATAAAACAAAAGCTGAAGTTGTGCTCTGCAGCATCGGGTCTCGACGGTTCAGAGATGATTCACATCAGGAAACCTGCACAAGAAAATATGTTTAAGGTAGTTTCTTTAAGATCTCACAGGAATTTCTGAAAACATGACGTGACTTTAGAATAAATTTATTATCAAAGAAGACGGCTAATCTTGAAAACTAATAAATTCAATTTCCAGCAGGTTTTGGCTGTAAAATAATAAAATACAAAGTGTTTTTTAGGAGCAGGTCAGTTGTAAAAGTTTAAATTTGTCTTGGAGTTCAGTTTGATGATTTTCTCCAGTTTTCAAACTTCAGTTCTAGTTTTTTTTAACCACCTGATGATGCTTATGAGCAGAACCGCATAAAACTGGAGCCATTAATGTTTATTAAATACGCTGATAATGTTTTTGCTTGTGCCAGTCAGCGTATGTTCATTAGTTGTTAGCAAAATATCTTACAAACCAGTAGACAATGAAACGGAAAATAATCATTGGATGCACATCTAGAGGTGGTTAAATAAAACGTCTCAGAGAGAACGTCTTTTATGAGGTTTGAAGAAAACTGCTACAGCGCTCCTCGTCCTAATCTAAAACTTAGGCACGAAAGGTGGCGGGTGATATGCATCCCTTCAAGAAAAGTGAAGCTTTAATTCTCACAGTGGTTTGATCTGGACTCTGCGTTGAAGGTCTGTTTCCCATCAGGTGAGCCCTCCTCTTCCTCACTGCCATCAGGTGAGCCCTCCTCTTCCTCACTGCCAGGACCAGAAGGACCAGTCGCCTGGAACCTGCTCGTGAGGAAAAAAAACAAGTTAAATTTATTCACGTTTAACTGAACACACAATCAGTTGTTCTAACACTTGTGCATTTTTTATGTTACAATTTTTGTTGTTTAGACAATTAAATGACAGATGTTTGAAGATGCTGAGGAAAAACCTACACCTGAAGTCTCACCAGGTTCAGTCAGGTCCTCTGAGGCCGACTGAACCTGGTGAGATGTTTCTACCTGGATTATTGAGCAGCATCAGGATAAACTGAAGTAACTGAGAATGTTTATGAAGCTTTCACACAACTGTAATCCAGTTCTCAGCGTGGTTCTCGTCCCACAGTTTTTCAGCTATTTCAACAAATCGTGAATCAAAACGTTCAGCTCTTTCAGGACAATCCTGCTATGACTTTTGGTGTTGGTGCAACTCTAGCTTTTTGAAATATTTAGCCTTTTCTGCCATTTTTTTTCCTCATAGAAAATGAACTGAGCATCCTTCAGATCTTTAGATCTGTTGACAAACTTTTACTGCTCCTTTCACATTTTGTTCTGCTTCAGCTTCCTTCTGCAAATTTAAACTTTTTCAACTATTTTCAGCTGTTTTGTGTTCTTTTCTGATTCCTTCTAACTTCTTTCTGCTAATTTCAGCTTGTTTTGCTCCTTTTGGCTTATTTCTGCATGTGTTTCTGCTGTTTTGATGCTAATTTTTGCTTTTTCAGCTAATTCCACATTTTCTGTAGTAATTTCATTTTCTTTTTGCCTAATTCAACAAAAATGTGCTTCATTTCCTTCTGGTAATTTAAGCTTCCTTCTGCTTTTTTAGCTACTTTTCAGCTGTTTATATATATATATATGCGCTTTTTTTATTTTTATAGATAATTTCCACTTTTTTGTGCTCATTTCTGCTTCTTTCAGCCTAATTGGGCAAACATGTTCTTTCTGCGCTCTTCTGGTAATTTAAGCTTGTTCTACCTCTTCAGCTACATTTTTTTTTTAGCTAATTTCAGCTGTTCTTCTGCAATAAGCTTTCACACATCATCTTCACAGGAAATGCAGTTTCTCTAGTTTTAGGATATTGTTCATTTTCCATGTGCAGTCACTGGAGCGTACCTGAGTTCAGGTGCGACATCCATGTAGTTGGCGTGTCCAGTGTCCACCAACTTCTTGGCAACATGGACGCCGTCGACAACAATGTCCACGTTCCAGTCTGAATTGGATACAAACTCTCTGAAGAAGATCTGGAGGTTCTTCTGGTCCAAACACTTCTGGAAGAAGACCGCTGCCTCATCGCTCCACTGTCCATCTCCACCAGCTGGCTTCACCCCTTTCAGGGTGCAGGGGTAGGTCAACTTTGGGAGGTCCGTTAGCTCCACTGGAAGCTTCTTCAGCTTGGACAAATCATGACTTGATATGCATTCATAATGACCGTGATCCACGAGGTCCAGGACAACTGTGGCGTCGGCGTGGATGATCTCAGCCCGGCACCACCTGTTCCTGGATTCAGGTTTCAACAAACAGCAGGTCCCTGGAACGAGGTGGGCCTCAGGAAGGGGAGGCATCTCCAGGGGCAGTTCGTCGAGAATGGCAGACACTTTATTCCTGGTGAGCAGCAGATCTTCCAGAACAACACAGAAGTCAGAGGGAGTTGCAACTCCAGCTGCAGAGCCAGAATAGACTTTGTCGTTATCCACTGCAGCAAAAACAAGCTGTTGAGGAGCGCTCGTGTCTGAGGTGGGTCCTCCTTCACTTTGGGTGTCAGCAGGTGATGCAGACCTGTCGTCAATTTGCCGCCGAGAAGCTTTGATTTGCCAGAGGAGGAACAGTTCGTTCATAACTATTTCAACCATCCACGAGTCGTCGGCCTCAGAGAAACTCACAAATATCAGCTTGACCTCTGAACCTATCATTGGTTCCAGAGTTTCATACCAGCCCTGATTAGCTTCCTTTTCCTCAGTGAACCCTGAACTCTTCATCCTGCACAACACTGCGAGGTTTGGGAACTCCATGAGATCTGTACACTGTTCTAAGACGGGGACACTTGGAATATCTTTTGTTACTCCATAATCCACCAGGAAGACTTTAAATTCTCCCTCGTTGACTTGCTGGACAACAGCTCTTCCAAACGTGTCCTCCTGGACCTGAACCAAGCACCTGAGGCCTCGTTTGACATTTGCTTCACCAACGGTCTTGAACTGGTTCATGTTGTTTTTTATCTGCTCTTCCAGAGCTTTGAGCAAACCCTTGTTCTTTGAAAGCCTGATATAAAAACCGTCTCTTTGGACTGATAGAACGGTGCCATTGTCAGTGTCTCCGGGTTCAATCGTTGGCGGTAGAGAAGCGTCTTTCTTTACTTTGGCAGATGACAGTTTGGTCTTCTTGTGGCTCCTCCTGATCCTTCCTCTTCTCCAGCACTTGACTGTTTTTACCTTCTGGTTGACGGACAACTCGACAGGCATCGAGTCTTCACCTCCACCAGTTGAGGTTTTCTTTGGTACTTCATTTTGTTGGCCTTCGTCTGTGATGTTCTGTTCACAAGATGGCGCCTCCTCACTGCTTTTAACTATACTTAAAAGAGATGCTTTGTTTTCAGTCAGACTGCTTTCCGGTGTTGCGTCATCAAGAACCTCCATCTTGACTTGCCACTGAATCCCACTTTGACGAACAAAGTCGACCATGATTGGTCTTTCTACTACGGCATCAGTGAACGAAGAATCCGTTTCGTACAAGCTCGAGTCCAGCAGTGAACAAGGAATACTGAATCTTGGCTGAGACAGATAATCCTCTGGTAAGGGGTACATCTTTTCCCTCCATACATCTGCTGAGTTTCCATAATCCACAAACTCCACTTTGAAACTTGAATTGCTCTCCTGGGTTTTTATTACTGAGCGATACAAAGCACCATCGTCCTCAAACTCTGCCAGCACAACGTCACCCACTTGAAACGATTCAGCCAGTTTTAGAGAATCCCTAAAGACGCCCAAGTTGAGATCTTCACCCATTTTTAGGATGTCCGGTTCATCGTCTGACAGCTGCAGGAAGAAGCTGCTGATGGAATCAACATGGGACACGAAGCATTTTGTCCTGAAACCTGGACGGATGCTCTTCTCTGAAAAACACAACAGCTGGGACATTTTTGTCTCCTTGCTCTGCTGCGGTTTCTTTGACTTCACAGTCTGATGTTCGGCTGGTTTGACTTTAGACTCAGTCTGAGGGCTTCTCCTTCTGTTGAGCACATTTTGTTGTTTTACTGATGTGCTCTTATTATGAAGCCTCCAATGAACGTTTTTAGTGTTTTTAACTCTGTGGCTGTTAGACGTAGAAGCCGAAGCTTGTCCTTTGCTCGGACTCTTACATTTGTCACGTGTCTTTGTGAATCTTTTGTGGAAAGTTGTATTTTTCACCTTGTGCTTGTTTTTTATCAAACTAGCAGTTTTTGGTTTCTGTGACTGACTCAGAATGAGTTTCTTTACCTTCTTGTTGATGTTCATGTCTCCATCGAACAGTTCGATATCGAAGGAGCCATCTTCCCTCTTCGCTCGTACGACGGCTCTGACACACTTGTTGAGGACTGTGTCGTTCAGCCATTTCTTGGCATCTACGTAGAGCTCTTCCTCGGGAACTGAATCCAGGCGACATCTCAAAGCCTGCATTGGCGTGTACAACAAGTCCTCACAGTTCCTGGGAATAAACATGACTTTTGTTTTCTCAGAGATTTTTGTGTTTCCATAGTCCACAAAAAACACATCAAAGTGAAGCAGCGATGGGACTGGCAGCATCAAGCCTCTGTACCATTTTCCATCCAGGTATTTAGCCAGACACAAGTTCCCCACAGCAGCTCTGGTGTTGGCCTTCATCATTCTTTCACTTTCTTCAGAGATTTTCATCTGAAGCTCTTCGATGATTTCAGTGTTTCTCTCGAGATGGCAGTAGATCTCACACTGGCTGCCTACGTGAGCAACGTAGACTTGTTCTTCACTTCCGGGGCCAACACCAAACGAAGAATAGACAAAAGAATCAGGGACAACATCAGATCGTTGTCTCATTGGCACCGTTGCTCTTCTTGCCAGTCCCTGCTCTCTGAGGGCATCTGTTACAGTCTGCTGCGTCTGGCTGTTGTAGAGGTCGACGACGTTTCTCAGGCCTTTGTTTTTCACATTTACCTGGGAAACGACCTGACATCGAAGATTGTTTGCACTCTTGAGGACAAAATTTTTCAGCAGGTTCAACACCTCTGGACTCCAATCTCCACTTTGGGTGTGTTCTGCAGGCTCAAACAGATTGTAAAGGCTACACCTGATAGCTTGTCCCTCCAAATACGTATAATCTGGGATTATCGCCCAGAGGTGATTCTGTTTGACTTGGATGACGGGGCCAAAGTCAGCCAGCATTACTGAAGTGTGGCCCTTTTGTTTTCCTACAACGAAGCCCCGGTACCATTTTCCATCATGTGGTGACTTGGCTACACAGCATGACTCCCCGGGCTGCAGGGGGACTGTGTGAAGGGAGTAATAATGCTGCATGTCGTCCATCAGTTTGTCCAAAGCTGGAAGTTTATCAAGAGGCTGGCACCAGAAATCAGATGGAGAGCTAATGTCCGAGCAGCGCACGGAGAACTCAAACCCTGGCTTGATGCTAACAGCTCTGAAGCTACATTTAACCTTCTCAGCTTCATTTCTGAACGTTTTCTCTTCCTCCCTATAATTTTCCCATTGCTCTGACCTTCCACCTATGTCTGCAGTCACCGGATGATGCAGGCGTCTTGTTTTTTCTGTTCCATCTTTGCTGTTTCGCGCCGCTCGCTCTACAGGAATGTATTCAGCTAGTTTGGAAGCGATCAAAAGCTCAGTGATGCTATTATCATTTCCCATCTCAAAGAGTTCAACAACGCATTTGTGCTTTTTCATCCGGACAACACGAACTAGCAAAGCTTTGTCCAACACAGATTTTCTGAAAAAGTCACAGGTGGTGCTGGCCCAGACGTCGTCCAAAGGAAAAACATTAGCAAGCGTGCAACACATTGCAAATGCTGATTTGTTAGCAACAGTCTCGGGAATGTTTTTGATCAAGTCGTACGGCACTTTTTCAGTGTTCCCAAAGTCGATAAAAAAAATCTCTGCTCCATGTTTAAGAATGTCCGTTACCACACCCCTGTAGAAATGCAAGTCTTCCTCGTACACAGCGCAGCACATCACCCCGAGCTCTGGATTCAACAACAGGTCTTCATCCAGCTTCACTTCACTGAAGTGTTTTGTTATTTCTGACATCATTTCCTCAAATTCCTCGTTGCGTTTTTGGGTTCTGATCCAGAAGTGGTTCGGATTCTGTGCGTGCTCAACGTAGCCCACAAAGACCGAGCCGACCTGCACTTCCTCTGCTTGTAACGTTTCGTAGAACGCCTCACTCAACATCGTCTTAAAGTTTGAAAAGCCACTCGGAGATGACGTTTCTTTAACATCCGGCGCAAAGGGACCGTGTTGGACCGGCTCTGGTTCTTCCACGTGTGTTTCTTCAGCACCGAGCACAGTAATGGTGTACAAATACTGTTCTACATCAAAATCTCTGATCTCCACATCCAACACGGTTCCAAGCAAGCCTGCCTTCAGGAAACTCAATTGCTGAGCCTTCAGAGCCACATCCTGACCGGTCGCAGAGGGGAGCGTGCACGGGAGCGCCATGACTGGTGCCGAGTAAAATTCAGGAGGCAACCTGTGAACATTCTCCACTTTCACCAACTCAAATAACCCGTAGTCGATCAAAAAAACTCTTACTTGAGAGTTGACTGGTAGAAACCGCACAAAGCCTCTGACCCATTTCTCATCTTTTCCTTTAACTGCGCACAGCAGACCCAGATTCTCTGGAGTCTTCTGGTTGTATTCGTCGGTTCTGTGCTCAAAAATCGCAGCCAACCTTTTGGACATCTCCTGGAGTTCTGCCTCCACGCTGACCATCTGACAGAAAAACAGCCCAGGGTTGACACCAGCAGTTACTCTGACTTTAGTCCGCGTCTCACACGTGAGTCTAGGCCCACAGAAAGACAAAACGTCTGCGTATCCCTGCAAGCTGGATGATCTGAAACAAAACCCTTGGACTATTGGCTTTTCAATAAGCAAGTCAGGAACGGGCTCGATGTTTTGCTTGAGTGGCACGTCCGTAAGCATGCTGACCAAGAAGATGAAGGTATCTGTGTCCACAGGTCTCCCGAAGCCATGCTGGACCAGGTCACAGTTGATGTCAGGGGCTTCTAACAGGAGGACTTTGTGAGGAAGGAGGGCTTGAATGAAACCTGTGACATTTTTGCCAATCAGACTTGAGAAATATTTCTCAACTGCTGAGTGAGAAACATTCTGAAGAAGCAGCACGTTGGCAAGAAAGCCACAAACTATTTTTGGAGGCAGGTTAAGCAGGTCGCTCGAACAGGACGACATGTGGGCAACATCCACACTCAAGATGTTACCGCAGTCTATGAGAAACACGTCAAACAAGTCGTCCTTTTGGTTTTGAACTCTTCCTCTGAACCAGCGGGCCAAAGTCGAATCTTCTACAAGACAAAACTCTCCGATCTTCACAGCAGCTTTATTCTTGGGTACGTTTTGGATTTCTCCCTGCAAGATGTTGTAGTCAAGTTCACATATGGTGAGGTACTGTCCCTGGAAATGTATTAGGGTCGCTTCAGCGTTCCAGTCCAAGTGAGTCAACTTGAGGTCCACTGGCCAAAGGGCACATGGTGTCAGTGGACTGGACTCTTGTGACCTGCAAATCAAAGTATCAGAAATTACTGAACTAAATTTACATTTAAACGCATAACATTTGTGTATGGATAATTTATGTTTTTATCAATGAACAAGTTAATTTGGATAAATTCCAGTCAGACGGTCACAACTCAATGTGTGTAAAATTTGGAATCCAATGATTTGCAAATCTCAAAAACTCATATTTTATTTAAAATGGAACATATCACATCTTAAACTATGAAAACATTATTTAAATAAGGTATTTTAAAATTTACTGGCAGGACCATGTTTGTCACGGAAGCATCTCTTCTTCTTTTAACAACAGTCTGTAAACACCCAGGACCTGAGGAGACCAGTTGTTGGAGGTTTTGGAGGAGAACTTCGTCCCGTTCTTGCCTGATGTGTTCGACAGTCTTGCTCTTTGCATATATAGTTAATTTGTGAAATGTAAGTTCATTCTTAGAAAACACGAAATATAACCAAACCAGGGGTCGACGTAAGCAGTTTGCATTTTTCAGAGGCAACTTATTTTCTTATCAGACAACCAGATCAACAACATCAAGGTTGTCCAGTGGACAACCAAGTTAAACAGACGTGGATTAAAGTTCTTCATCTAAAAACAAATTTCCGTCTGGGGGGGGGGGGGGGGTCAATTGTCCTGATTTGGGCGGGACAGTCCCAGATTTTACCTCCCCTGTCCCGCGTCCACATGAGGCGGTGCGGGACTCCCAAATGCCTCGCATTTGACAAGAGTTGGCTGGGCTCACCTGTTCATGTCGTGTCTATGTGGGAGGGATACAGAGCGGGTGTTTAGTGGGCTTCCTGCAACAGCAGGAATTGGGTAACCGTAATAATAAATACTGGCTGTAAAGTGCAAGTTTTCAGCTTTCATACTGTTAGAATGTTTCTGATAGTACAAGCTATTGTCTTCTTACAACGTCAACGCTTGTTTAGAGGACACTATACTGTGTACTTTTACTGAAGTTATGTACACAGTATACGGTGTACTTTCACTGAAGTTATGTACACAGTATACGGTGTACTTTCACTGAAGTTATGTACACAGTATACGGTGTACTTTTACTAAGGTCATGTACACCCTTGGGCAACCTGTAGGTGTAGAAAATTTTTCAGTTAAAATTAGGGATGGGGCCGATCCGTTCCAGTATCGGTATCGGCCTCTGATACCAGCAAAATTTACGTATCGGATTTTCCAATCCACCTGCCGATATTTCCGATCCATGCATGTCTGTGGTTGCGCTGCATGTTGGCTTCAAACTACGGAATGGATTTCCTGAACAGCGGCGTGTCTCATGAACCCAGAGTAATAAGACCCGCCTCACATTCAGGAAATCCAGTTCATAGTTTGCAGCAGCTACAACGTGAGGACTGAGTTAGCAGCACGGTGGCTAACAGCTAACAAACTTTTCATCGAAACATGTCGCTGTGTGGAAGTATTTTACACTAGAAACAAAACAAGACAGCAACGTGCAATGTCTGCAGAGCCATAGAACCCACATTAAACCGCGGTAAAGTTAGTTTTACGTTGGATATTCGAGCTCCGTGGCTTCAGCGGGGCGCTGCTCTTTGCTCAAACCAAAACAGGCGACTCGACCCCGACCAGCCGCGTCCAATCTGCCCCGCTCAGTCTGAGGAGGGACAGACTGAGCACGGCTGCCCCAAATCAGACTGCCTGCTTCGGATTGAACAAGAAGAAGACGTCGCTGAAACCATGGAGCTCGAATGTTTACAGAGAAGTTGCTAAACTTCATAATTAATGACCAACTGCTATCGACTGTAGAAAACGAAGGATTTCACAGTTTGATACTTGAAGTCAAGATATAGTTTACCCTCCAGGAGATATTTATCAGTACAACAGTAGACAATCATAAAAAACATATGATTTAAAAATTATATTAAAAACATAAACAGGTACATTATAAAGTGATGTAAAATACTAAAAACAGGAACATGTCTGTTGGTTTATGTCATGAACTTAGCAGATGTTTAAAGCCATTTAACATTTAATTTAATTTAATTCATTTATTCATTCATTTAAATAAAACAAAATAAAAATAAAAAAAATCATCAAAAAGAAAATGTTGAATGAAAAGAGTGCAGAAAGAAGAAAAATTCTTATCTGCCCCTTATAAAATACAAAACAACTTTAAACAATCACTTAAATTAATCACTTTAATATCCACTTTAAAACTAGGAATAAAAATAAACATGTTTTGTGTTAGCAGAATTTAATTCTAACTACAAAACTTATCCAACATTAATAAAACTTACCTCAAGTTGCCTTTTTGGACATGCATGAATATATTTGTACAAATTGTACTTGAGAGCAGATTATTACAGCCTCATGTAAAATCAATGATGATCATGATTTCGGAACTGGATCGGGATCGGATCGGGATTTTAAAAAGTGGATCGGTGCGTCCCTAGTTAAAATATTTTTTTCTGCTTTAATCTCCGCCTTAAATACGCTGCGAGTGCCTCTCTTGTGAAGTCTGATGAAGAGGAGAACGAGGAAGTTCCACTCAAGCAGCTCCTGAAAGAGTCTGCCACTCGGTAGGTAAAAGTGTGTCATCTGGACCAGAATCAGAACCTGGACCAGTTTCTTTAAGTGAGAAACGTCTCGTCGTCCATCCAGTGGACTTCAGTCTATGGCCTGCCAACCAGATCAGTCCCATAAGTAGTCGTCACTGCTGTGTTCCAAGCCTGTTGGAATCTCAGAAGTAGAATCTCAGAAGTGGACTTTGTCTGAACCACTTTGGTCTTTGTTGTCCTCAGGCTGTTTCTGTGAGTAGCAAGACGACCATCTGGCCTACAACATTTGATTGTTGCACATGATGATTGACTGTTTTGGATGGGTGTGTTTTGCACGTGTTAAAAGTCTTCTGAGTTTCCAACATGAGGTTGGCTTGAAACTACCTATGGAACAGATCTGGTTGGCAGGCCACAGACTGAGGAAGTCCTCTGGATGGGGGTTGAAACGTTTCTCACTTAAAGAAACTGGTCCAGATGACACGATTTAACCTTTTTTGTTGTTATCTACCTGGATAATTGAGCTTACAACCCTTTTTTCTAGATCGTAAACTTTATATATAATGCAATAAACATTAAATTAAAAAATTCTTGAGATTTCTTTGTTATAAAGGTTGCGGAAAACCAAAAACTTTGGCGTCCAACCAGATTCTGATAAAAAGGTTGTTGCTGGACAACCTGGAAAATGTCCATATGTCTGTGAACTGTAGCAATTCAGCAAAGAGGATAGTTTAAATATTCTGCCAGAAACAGGTGGAAATCTGTCTAAAACCACAGCTCGTCAAGGAACATCAAGCAAGTACCTATGTTGTCTTAAACTAAATTTAAAGTTTCCTATAAACCAATATTAAAATATTTATAATCAATATTTACTTACATGTGGTGTTTGGAACCTGGCATAGACTGCATTTTATCAAAATCAGGTACAGTCACATCTCCAAAAGAACCTGAAGGAGAAAAATATGTTTTAATGCAGTTTTGATTTTTCTCACAAATTCATATAGGCACAAGTGTTTATTAGTTTAAAACCTTATGCTAAGAACAAAAATATATACACAAAAACAACAAATGTACCACAAAATATTTAAATGATTGTGTCATTTATTTTAAATTCTGAGTAACATTAATACAAACAAACAGCGTCAAAGTTTCTTCAATAATCTCGCTTAAATAAAAGTTAATAGATTTCAATATTAAACACTAAGACCAGAGGGTCTAGTTCAGGAGTTTATAAGTTATTAAACTTTAAGTGATAGCACAAGTAGCGTCTCATTTGTTCAGCAATGCGGTAACAAAATGGTTTCTGTCTCAGAAATGTAATTATTGGTCCAAAACCAGCCAAACGTTAAATTAAAATTAAGGCAGTGTTCAATTGTGTTATTAAACATGGAAAGATTATGTTAAAATATTATTTTTGAAGAAGTGTGATGAAGAAATCTAATAAGTGAATATTAAACAAATAGGGAAATTAAATAGGAAGAAACTGGAACCAA